ACATGTCAACTCATCCTACTAACCCTAACCCTAACTTATCCTAACCCTGACATATCCTAACCCTAACCTAACAGTCTATTAATACTCTAATGAGAGTCTAATGACATGTAGTTGCAAACTTAGTAGAATGTCTAAAGTGGACTACTAAAATAAAGTGTAGCTTTAAGATATATGTATATATATATATATATACACACACACACACACAATTCGATTTCGATTCACAAGCTTGCAATTCGATTCGATTCAATATTGCTTATTTTGGATATAAGGTACAATACATGGAGTCAGTTGTAGCCTATAGGCTTCATTAGCCTACTGTCTATAATGTACTAGTAGGCTAATGAATATATATATATATATATATATATATATATATATATATATATATATAAGCAAGGATGCATTAAATAAATCAAATGAGACAGTAAAAAACTGTCACATCACATTATTCAAATAAAAATAAAGCCTATTTCAAATAAATGCCATTCTTTGAAGTTTCTATTCATCAAAGAAAAAATATCACAGTTTCCACAAAAAATACAAAGCAGCACAACTGTTTTCAACCTTGATAATAATCAGAAACATTTCTTGAGCAGCAAATCATATTCGAATGCCTATATTTATTATTAAAAGATAAGCAAGTTATCTCTTGTTAATTATAAATAAAGAATTCATTATATATTATTATTATAAAATAGACACTGTATATCTAAAAGTAATGTGACACCTGCATGAACTCTGATTTCTCCACTAAAATATCCTGCATGTGCACATTTCCCATGAGAGGAGATCTGGGTGCATGATCAGTGTCTGTCATCAGATCCCTGGGATTTTTCTGTGAATGGTTACGCTCATAATGAAGTGATGTGATGACGGCCAGCGCTCGTGCATGTGTCCCGTCAGAGGAAAGCAGCTGTGTGCCCTCGGGTGAGCGTCAGACTGCTCTCAGACCAGCGTCTGTGTCTCATAAACCAGGTGCGAGGGAAAACAACGTCCCTCTGTTAAAGACAAACCAGGTGTGTCTGATCACATGATCTTTGTTACGAGCGTTTATATCAAAGCTTCAGCTACTTCAGATCAACACACATGCCGTAGTGTTTATAGTGCTGGGCCACGATTAAGTTTGTGTCTACATGATATGTGTGTGTGTACTGTGTATAATTATTTTGTATTTATAAATACACACACACACACACACACACACATAGATGTCTATATTTAAGAAAAAGGTGTTATTTTTACATAAAAATTCCAGAAAGCAGTGTTTATAACTTTAGTGACTTTGGTTCACTTCTCAATATTCTTTCTGTAAAACTACGAACAAGAAAAGAAATATGACGATTTTTGCGTCATCGGAGGATTTTTTCCAGACAAAAAATACATAAATCTCTCGTATCAGGGGGATATGAGGGTGGAAAGCATGGTAATTTGAAAATACTACAGGTTTTCTACTAATACAGAGCTTAATGCCAAATCCTTAAGTATCCCTTTTAACAAATTATTTGGATATATAAAAAAAGCATTGGTGCATGTTGTTCATTTCATCTGAAGCTGCAGTGAATTTTAATAAAAATAATAATAATAATTCATTACATTTATATAGCGCTTTTCTCGGCACTCAAAGCGCTTTTTATGCATATAAGTAAGTTTTGCAGAAATGTTATTTTTCCAATGAGCCGATGTTGGCAGATTCTGTAGAGTGGCTGAGATGTCGTCCACATACTGTAGAGTACATGTAAGTTCACGGAAGTGAAGAGTGTTGTCACTCAAACATGTGCAGTGTCACAATCCTGTTTATTGTTTTGATGTCATTCATCTAAATGAGGCTCAATTTCACATATATTTCACAACAGAGTGTTACATGTGTGTGTGTTAACTAACCTTCCTCCTGTTATTGATCTCTTTTAAAGCAGAACATAAGTGTGTGTGTGTGTGTCCATTCAACTAGGCCGTCTTGATCTTAATATAGTAAACCAAAACTTAGTGGTAGATGTTATTTACAATATTAGTGCAAGTACACTTTTATATATACACTGTTGTGCAGATACACACTATTCCAGTCAGTCCGATCAATGCTAGGATACTTTAAATTTCTATCATAGGCCTATTAAATCCATGTTAAAAACTTTAATCCCACCCATTAGCCACTTTATTTCCATTTATTGAATATATTCTTCAGTTTTATTGATTATAAACACCTTTCAGAGCTGATATGCGATGAGAAAAGGGAGAAGAATTGGGGTGGATTGGCGTCAGTCAACAGTCAAAAGCTAAATCAGTTGTAAGCTTGGTTTCTATTGTTATTTATCGGGGTGAACCAAACAATAGTGGACGGAGCTAATGTAAATAGCCTCTATTTGCACTTATTTTAAACAGACACAAATCCACGTACAATTAGGGCGAAAGGGGGTCAAACACAGTGTTAGTGCATCGTTCCTAATAATCCTTTAGGTGAGTGAAAGTGCATTCTTTGAATTGTGTTTCAGGTCTCTCACTCTCACGTGTGTATGAAAGTAAATCCAGTGCAAAGTCTAGTGTTTCCAAGCCTTGATGCAGCTGAAACAACAGAAACTGAACAGCTGCACGAAAGTGTTTATGTGTAAAGACTTGCACTGAGATATGAAGTAATGTCGTTGTAATGTCACCTAGTTTACTAAAACACCACGAAGATTAAAACATTATAAGCTTTTAAGAGGCAGAAGAGATACCCGAGTCATTACCGTGTCCAGAGGAATATTACACGGCTCTTTTCAACACAGACATGCTTGATTTGAATGAGACTGGCTATAAACGCGTCTCTTTGTGCCTGAAAAAATTCATTTATAAATGGAAGCTCAATATGATCAATTAGTGAAAAAGAAGACCAGCACTGTATAAAAATCGGGAAATTTCACAAGAAATTTCTTCGAGGTCAGATTTAGGGATTCCAGACAGTCTCAGTTCTCCAGACAGTGAAAACCTTTCCTTTATTGTGTTGACCTCACAATTCCCAGTATAAAAAACCACAAACACTTTGTCACAATTGACACCTCACAATACAAAGGCTCTGATTAACTATCAGTGATGAGCTTAATACAGTATCACACAAACTCTGCTGAGATAAGAACATCATAGCATCAGTTTGAGAAACTCCCCAAAGAACGTTTCATTGATCAGTTCTTAAAAGAACATTTGAACATTCTAAAGAACTATTTTCCACAACAAAGAACCTTTTGTGCAATTAAAAGGTTCCATGGATGTTGAAGGTTCTTTATTAGGGATGCACCATATCGGTATCGGCCGATATTTGTTCTTTTTTTTTTTTGTTATCGTTATCGGGCTAATAATAAAATTTGGCTGATATATTAAAGCTGATAAATAATGAATAATGAACACTTGACACCTGAGACACTTAAGATGCGCACTGTTCAACATGATTGATCTTAATTGCTTGAAATATGATTGGAATCAAAAAGGAAAATATAGTTAAGTGCAAAATGTGCTGTCATATCGGCTACATGAAATTGTGTTAGGGAACGGATTTTAATTGTGAGACTTTTTTTTTTGCAATCAGGCTTCCAAAAATTATTTTTTTAAAAATTGGATTTAGATTTATCGGCCGATATATCGGTTTTCAAATATAAAAAATTATATTTGAAATATTTGGAATCAGCCAAAATGTTCATATCAGTGCATCCCTATTAGAGCCAGACCGATATTATCGGCCGATATTAGGCATTTTCCATAATATCGGTATCGGCAGTTATAACGGCCGATAAATGAATACTTTAAAAAATAAAATAAAAACGGACGCTTCAATCATCTCTCCTTGGCCTGTTATATTGAAAATGTACGTTTTACAATTTGCAGTATGATGTTATCTATTGCTAAATTATGGCTCATCATAGACTAGCTAACCACAAAGCTAGCTAATGCCACTATCATCAGTGGAAGACCGCTAACGTTAACATTAATGAGCTTGGAAACCACAATGAACTTTTTCTGCCTAAATAAAGTAATGATTACCGTATTTATAACTAGCATATCTCTAGTTACAGTCCCTGCATTGTAAAATTTAAGTTATACTTGCGAGGAGTGAACATTTAGACATAGAGAAAAAGTATCAAACGTATCTTGTGCAGAAAAGTTAGCTTTTCTTTTACACGTGTGTGAAATCCAACAATATTTAATAAAAAAAATTACATATCGGCCGATATATCGGATTTTAAAACCCAAAAATATTTGTATCGGTATCGGCAAATCCATTATCGGTCGGGCTCTAATCCCTATTCTTTATAGAACCATCGATGCCAATAAAGACTCTGTATTTTTACCGTTGGCTGCAACACACACACACACACACACACACTGATCTTCATGTCACCCAACTCAATGTGAAGTTTGATGCATGTTTCTAAACTGTAAACACAATACTCAAATTACTACAAAACAAAAAGCACACAAATAATAAAATGTATTCATTTGTTTTTATACATTTTTATGTATGATAGAGTATATTTATAGTTGATATTTTTTTGTCACTTTGAGCTGTATGTAATGCTACTTTAGAATTTAGTCAAAACGATTTCATGATTTGCTTCTATAAAAATCCTTCTAAAGCATTTATTAATTTGAACATCCACAAAAGCATTATTAAAATCAAATATTGTTGCATTATTGGCAACGCTTTACGATAAGGCGACATGTACTAAGCTAGAAACTAACATACTTCAAATACTTGTTTTACTTTTAGTTCATATTAAATCCAACATTTACTATTATAAAAATAAAAAACTTGAATGTGATATTAATTCATATATTATAGTAGTTATTATAGTATATATTAATGAATGTACCTGATTTGACATGAACTAGCATTAGACAAAGACAAAGTGTTGCTCATACGAAACAGAAACACACCACTGTTAAAGAAGAGCTAAAGACCAACAGAGAGCTTGTAACTTCACAGAGCTTGTGTTCACCAACACAACACGCAGAGAAACTGGAAAAGGACTCACAGGTTTTTGGACTTCTTCTTCTTGGCCCCGTCAGGACCCGAGTCACAGCTGCATTCAGAGCCGGCGCTCAACTGTGGACAGAGAAACATGCGGCATCATCCAGGGACCAAAGCATTGCAGGATTCCAGATCCAAAAGTAGCTAAAGTTAATCCTCACGGCCTGGTACAGGCCATAGTGTGTGTGTGTGTGTGTGTGAGCGAGTGAGTGACCCTGATCGTTGTAATCTTCAGTGTGTGAGACTGTGTGTATATGCGATGGCCTCCAGCCATGCCCAGGATTACAGAGAGGGGCTCAGACCGTGGTGGAGTCACATTACACACACACACACACATTACACTTCCTCTCCTCACCAGGATATTACAGGCTGAAAACGGGGGAGGGGGAAGTCTGAATGTTTGAGACCACTCTGTATGCAGCGTTTGTGTGTGTGTGTGTCATCTTGACCCGTGGTCTGGACCTCTCATGTCGTGAAAAACAGTTTGACAAACATTTCCCCGACTGTATATCATGTTCGGTATCGAGTAGGGGTGCAACGGTACAGATAGCCCACGGTACGGTCCGTACCTCGGTTTTTGGGCCACGGTCTCGGTTCGGTTTCGGTACATGTTTTGTGCAGAAAGAGACTGCTATTTCATCCCAAAAATATGTTTTATTTTTCTTATGAGCATAAACAGAATGTCACAGTAGGAAGAACATCAATGTGTGTGGAATAAATTAACACTCTAATCTGTACTGAACAACACTAAGCAATACAACCTCTTCAAATACCACTTATGATATACAAAACGTAAACGAGCACACTTTAAAATATTCAAGTGGATACCAATTCCAAACCTTGATAACTGGTAAATGAAGTGATCAATGTGAAAGAAAAAGTGCACTTTTACCTACATAAATTAGCTTGTGGTTTGAATAAAAAAAGCAGAGCAAAATAATACAACAACAAAAAAATACTGCATTCAGGATACAAAGTGCAATGTTATTTACTCATCCACTTTTGAGAGATTCTTGTGCAAAAATATACTGCAGTCAAACATTTGACTGGGTTTGCGTTATGCATCCACTATGTGCTGGGAATGTAGAGAGTAGGCTACGTGGAGCCGCAGGTGAGGCGTTTATTTAGTAAGCGTGAGCGCGCTGGGGCGGGCACGTAACTTACATTCGCAGCCTGACTCATATGAGTATTCAATGTGCGGCGGCTCACTAACAACAGTTGGCCGTTTTGAATAAGATGACCCGTGTGAACGGGGAGCGCTTTATGAACATCTATGATGCGCGAGCAGCGCCGGTCTGTTCGTGTGTCTGTTAGAGTGAGCGCTCGTGAGCGACACACAAATAACCTGATACGAGGTTGAACTGGCCGTGTGACAAAGCGGGCATAAGCTGGACACGAGCGCGAGTTCGCGGGCGAATTTAATAACGCGGAGCGTTGTTAACTAATTGATCCATATATAGTAATTAAGGCGCTCCGGAATATAAGGCACACTGTTGTTTTTTGAGAAGATTAAAGGCTTTTAAGTGCGCCTTTTATAGTGCGGAAAATACGGTTAAAGGATCAGCACGAACTCTATGGCAGAACCGAAGTCCCGCGGGACACGAGGTTAGATTGTCCCGTGCAGGGCTGACCGAACGGTCCGGGATTTTACCGTGTACCGTTGCATCCCTAGTATCGAGTCCCTCGGGATTTGTCACACCTCTGGAAATTAGGCCTTATCATGCAAAAGCATTGTTTCACACACTCTTCCGACAATAGCACATTATTCTCTTGGACTTGGACGGTTTCTACTTCATGGTGTTTTGGAGTAAGAATGAAGTAAATATTTTTTAATAAAATGAAACTTTTCACCCAACTAGAAACATCATGGCTGTCCAGTACAGATGGCGAGGGCTTTTAACACTACTTTACACTATTGCTAATTGTACAATTTTAATTGTTATGCCATTTTTATGTTTGTTTTATAGTTTGGTCAACGATTTAGAATCAAATGGGTTTTTTTGTGCAGTTATGAATTAAAAATTTAATTTTAAAAGTAAAGTTTTAAAGTAATGTTTAGTTAATAATGCGGTAAATTCAGTGTTGTTTTATATCATTATTATAGCTTTTGCTAAAATTTTTAATTTGAGTTTAAGTAAAGTTTTAATCATTTTGTCATTTGTATTATTATTTTTTCAAACGTCTATACAGATTTTATTAAGCTTCCGGATAAAATTTAATTTTAGACAATCTATACTATAAGTAACTTTGCAAACATGTCAACTAGCAGTCATTAGAGTATCTGTAGACCGTTAGGTTAGTAGAATTAGTTGACATGTAGTTACAAAGTGTCTAAAGTGGAACATCAAAATTTTACCAAGTTATAATTTATTTCGTTTTGGTAATTTCAGTAATTATTGAGAAATGATTAGCAAATAGATTAAATAAAATCAGTCAAAGTTTTCTAATATTTTATTTGATCTCAGTTAATGCTTAGTAATGATTTTTTTTTTTTTTTTAAGGTTTTAGTTTTAGTTAATGGTAACAACCCTGGGTTGGAGGAATGGGTTGATAGAGGTTAGAATAAAAAGTCAATTTGATTAGCAAAATAAATCCATCCATCCATTTGGACACACATTCACACTCACACTCACAGCTACACACAATTTAGTGTCTTAACAACATGAATGCATGTGCAAAATGTAAAGTTGCAATGAAACAATAGTAGCAACTGATCTTCTCTTCCATATTGCTACTGTATGTACATCAGAGTGTAACAGATTATCGAACAAGAAAAACATGAAGCTGAGGATTGGATGTTGAGAAGTGGCTGATGTGATGCATTCAAAAATAAAAGGAAGCTTTCAAATTGTCTAAATTAATAAATCCCGACCTACGCTACTGGAGAGAAGTCTATCGAGTAATCGATATTTTGAATAAAGATTTCAAGGTGAAAAAATTCTTCACAGACTTGTATTTAATTCTGATTCTCCATCATTTCTGTTAGTTTCACCTTGAAATCTGAAAGACAGACCAAGACCAAGACAGACCAAGAAGACAGACCAAGACAGAGCAAGACCAAGACAGACCAAGACAGTCCAAGACCAAGACAGACCAAGACCAAGACAGATCAAGAAGACAGACCAAGTCGAGACCAAGACAGACCAAGACAGATCAAGACAGACCAAGACAGATCAAGACAGACCAAGACCAAGACAGATCAAGTCGAGACCAAGACAGATCAAGACAGACCAAGACCAAGACAGACCAAGACCAAGACGGATCAAGTTGAGACCAAGACAGACCAAGACAGACCAAGACAGATCAAGTCGAGACCAAGACAGACCAAGACAGATCAAGACAGATCAAGACAGATCAAGTCGAGACCAAGACAGATCAAGACAGACCAAGACCAAGACAGACCAAGACCAAGACAGACCAAGACAGATCAAGACAGATCAAGACAGATCAAGTCGAGACCAAGACAGACCAAGACAGACCAAGACCAAGACAGACCAAGACAGACCAAGACAGACCAAGACCAAGACAGACCAAGACAGATCAAGACAGATCAAGACAGATCAAGTCGAGACCAAGACAGACCAAGACAGACCAAGACCAAGACAGACCAAGACAGACCAAGACCAAGACAGATCAAGACAGATCAAGACAGATCAAGTCGAGACCAAGACAGATCAAGACAGACCAAGACCAAGACAGATCAAGTCGAGACCAAGACAGACCAAGACAGACCAAGACAGATCAAGTCGAGACCAAGACAGACCAAGACAGATCAAGACCAAGACAGACCAAGTCGAGACCAAGACAGATCAAGACAGACCAAGACCAAGACAGACCAAGACCAAGACAGACCAAGACCAAGACAGATCAAGACAGATCAAGACAGATCAAGTCGAGACCAAGACAGACCAAGACAGACCAAGACCAAGACAGACCAAGACAGACCAAGACAGACCAAGACCAAGACAGACCAAGACAGACCAAGACCAAGACAGACCAAGACAGATCAAGACAGATCAAGACAGATCAAGTCGAGACCAAGACAGACCAAGACAGACCAAGACCAAGACAGACCAAGACAGACCAAGACCAAGACAGACCAAGACAGATCAAGACAGATCAAGACAGATCAAGTCGAGACCAAGACAGACCAAGACAGACCAAGACCAAGACAGACCAAGACAGACCAAGACCAAGACAGATCAAGACAGATCAAGACAGATCAAGTCGAGACCAAGACAGATCAAGACAGACCAAGACCAAGACAGACCAAGACCAAGACAGACCAAGACAGATCAAGACAGATCAAGACAGATCAAGTCAAGACCAAGACAGACCAAGACCAAGACAGACCAAGACAGACCAAGACAGACCAAGACCAAGACAGACCAAGACAGACCAAGACCAAGACAGACCAAGACAGACCAAGACCAAGACAGACCAAGACAGATCAAGACAGATCAAGTCGAGACCAAGACAGACCAAGACAGACCAAGACCAAGACAGACCAAGACAGACCAAGACCAAGACAGACCAAGATCAAGACAGATCAAGACAGATCAAGTCGAGACCAAGACAGACCAAGACAGACCAAGACAGACCAAGACCAAGACAGATCAAGACAGATCAAGACAGATCAAGACAGATCAAGTCGAGACCAAGACAGACCAAGACAGACCAAGACAGATCAAGTCGAGACCAAGACAGACCAAGACAGACCAAGACAGACCAAGACAGACCAAGACAGACCAAGACAGATCAAGTCGAGACCAAGACAGACCAAGACAGATCAAGACAGATCAAGACAGATCAAGTCGAGACCAAGACAGACCAAGACAGACCAAGACAGATCAAGTCGAGACCAAGACAGACCAAGACAGACCAAGACAGACCAAGACAGACCAAGACAGATCAAGACAGATCAAGTCGAGACCAAGACAGACCAAGACAGACCAAGACAGATCAAGTCGAGACCAAGACAGACCAAGACAGATCAAGACAGTCCAAGACAGATCAAGTCGAGACCAAGACCAAGACAGACCAAGACCAAGACAGACCAAGACCAAGACAGATCA